GGGATCAGAGCGGATATTCGGATTTTTAAAATTAGTATTTGTGATTTGCTTAACTTTAGACGGATACTAAATTTTAGTATTTGCTTCGCTTTGATTTATAACGGATATTCGGATTTTTCGGATCGAATCAAAACAAATACCGAATTAAAACGAATTTAAGGGATAATTTGCCCATCCCTAGTTTCTGGCTTTCTGCTATTGACTCATATGATTGTTCCATTATCCAGCAGGATCATACCAACTGTTGTCGTGACAGAATTCTAATTTTATACAGAAAAATGTAATAGTGAAAAGTCTCCCTTCTTAAAATTTGTTTTTATCACTCTCTCTCCCATGTCGAAATTCCATGATATGAGTTACACATTAAACTTTTGTTTCTTTCGCCACACGTAATGTATATATAATAAGTAGCAGTGAATGTGATTAAGAGATGAGAAAAGTATTGGAGTTTTGACGACCCGACGAAGAGTAATATTTCCGTTTATAAGATTTTTGACGGCAAAGCCAAAGCCTACTAGCTATTTAGTTCAGAGTGGTCAAATTTCATAACAGCTTATAGCTAGAACATGAAGTTAATTACAACGAAGCTTTAGCTAATCATTAAAGAATGTATAAATTTGTTCTAAATTCGTGTGTTACCAAGGCTGTGTATATCTCTTTTGTAGTTTTCTATGGATTTATTTACTTTCTGAACCGAAATCCGTATTGAACAAAATATACAATGTGAAGTATATTGAACCCAACACTGTGATAACAAAATATTTGTAGTTGGTATGTGGGTTACTAACTTTATCTCTAGTACAATAATCTCACACCAAATAAAAGTCAAATGCCTCATGAAATCATTGTGGCCACACTACTCTTTTTTTCTTTTCCTTTTTTCAAAATCAAAAGTATTGCATAAAAAAAAAAAAAAAATTAAATCAAAGCCTGGCTAAAAAAAGCCAGAAAACTCTATATAATCTTCATTCTCTTTACAACTAATCAACTAATCCACACACATCGAGGAAGAAAAACGAAACTCAAGACTAATGCTTTCAAAGCAAGAACATGTACACAAGTCAATGCTAGGCCACGAATAACTGATTCAAGTTTTTTTCATGTATATCAAAAATTAATCAAACTCTCAATGCAAGGGAACACTTACATATGCTTGCTTGCTTAGTCAATTGGGTGTTTATCGATTTGACGAGATGTGTAGTGCGCAGAAAGCAAAAGCAGAGAGAGAAACGCGCTGGCCACAAAGATTGCATCAAACCATCGATGATAGAAATCAAACTGAATGTCTCCGCCTAGTACATCTGTTATTATCCCTCTGCGCCAACAAAACAGCTTCAGTAATTATAATCCAGTTTTCCATCTTTTGCACACAAGAAACAATGTGTACAACGATGCAGACAGCAACTAATTCATCATTCTAGTATTATCTTCACTTTAAGACCGGCGTACCTGTACTCATTTCTCAAGCTTTTTCTTATAAGAAGAATGGAAGACAAAAAGTACATTCCCATGATTTCAGATAGGAAAAGCACAACATTGCTTGAAGATCCACTTCCTACTCTTGAGACTGCAAAGAAGAACTGTACAGTCCAAAAAACTCCTCAAGTCATTCACCAAAACTTATAACAGCATTCAAAACAAAAATCTTCCATTATCTCGTCAGTAATGTTTCGCTCAAACCAAGTAAGTAGCCATCAATTGAGTATATAGAAATTTGTTTTTTAAAATCAGTTTGGGTTTAAATTGAGTAGAATCATAATGCTACTGCCACAAATACTCGATTAAATCACTCTAACTTGAGAGTGTAGCTGTTAGTTTGAGAGATTGTTTTCCAGACTAGGTGTTAGTTTGAGAGATAGTTTTCCATACACTAAA